GGCTTCCATTCTCAGAATTTCAAATTAAACAGAGTCAACAGCTGGGAATTTTAGCCCCCCCATCATCCTTGAGGCCATTAGACTGAGGAGGGAAGGCTATTGATTATCTCCTCCTCTATTATAGACTCTGGAGTGGAAAAAAATTCTGCAGTGTATTTGTGAAACAACTATATACATTTTGACAATTAAAAAAATGTAAGCCTTGTCTTCTGGATTTCTGCACAGAGCAATTTCTCCACAGTTCCAATATATGTCAGTCTGTGAGTGAGATTCACAAAATAAATAGATAGGTGGGTGGGTGGGTGGGTGGATGACTGGATGGATGGATATCTATTTAGGGTAGAGCCCACATTTATAAGTCATGGTATTTCTTTCCAACTTGCTTGGTGATCTGCAAAGTGTTTTAATCGATTTACAAATTATAATTTGATATATAGGCTGGGTCTACATATAGTCATATGTATGTTCATCCAACATATTTCCATAAATCATGGTTTGCATCCATAATTGCTTTCATATTACATGGTAAACCAAAACCAAACAAGCCACACTAGCTTCCTGAAGTCTGTAGATCACTATTGGTACAATTGCCATAATGTTATTTTCACGCAGCATTCTTATCCTACTACTGAAGCAAACCTTAAGCACAAGAGAAAGTATCTCGGGACAGGAATTGCTTTAACATTCAATGGTTCAGAGTTTTGTCTCTATATTCAGACATCCCATGGGCACCTTTGAGCTTACCCGATGTTGCTAACAGATACTATGCATGTAGAGAGGGGAAGGGCCCTCATGCTGGCTCAGGAATTCTGGGAGTTGAAGTCCACAGGCTGTAAAGATTCCATAGTTGCCCGCCCCTGTTCTTTGTCTTAACTCTTCAGTGGAGTTGGGGAAGGGACAAATGGAGGAATCCAAATTAAAGCAGAAAGCTATTTATCCTTTACTTAGGCTTCAAAACCCATGTTCCCTGGCCAGCATAGCTTTTGGCCCTGTAAGTGGTTTGATTGGAGTTGTAGTCCAGACAGGAAAGGGATTTAGGAATAGGAGGGTTTGCTTCTTGCTTCACCAAGCTGACAACTGATTGCTTGCAAAAATCCTGCAAAGCCATTTTTAAATAACTATATTTATCATTTAAAGGGAGAGGGTGGAGGAGGGAGAGAGAGATATATATCATCTAGATAGAACCTCTTGTATTTTTTACATTAAACAGGTCAGCGACTAAAAAGCTGTTTGCTTAT